TCTGATTCAGGTCTAGGGTGGGGCCTGAGAATTTGCATACCTAATATGTTCCTACACTAGCCAGCACTATGCTAGTTAATATTTTTCAAAAATAACTGCTTCCCTTCCCTACCAGGCACCATGCTCTTAGGACTTTCCTTGAGCAAGGAGTCTATTTTCATACCTGAAGACATCAGGCTTGGTTTTATGACAAGGCTTGGCAATGAAATGTGAATATAGGGATTATACCAAGAACTATTGTGGACTTCTGCCATGTCTCTTTTCGTCTCTGTCAGGAGACCCGAATGTCCCAGATGTAGGGCTGCTCATTCAGTCTGGGTCTTATAATGAAGAAGACATGAGATCCAGCTGCACCTGACCCATGATGAACATGCGACATGGGAAATAAGCAAACTGTTGTCATAAGTAACAGATTTGGGGAACTGCTTGTTAGAGAAGCATACCGTGGCTTAAAGTGACTGATATAGAAGACTTCCTGGAGAAAATGATGCTGAATAGAGTCTTAAAGGTGAATTATCTAGATAGAGAAGAGGCAAGGCTATGTCAAACTTCATCCTATAGGGACCTGATAAAGGAAACCTCAAATGTGACATGTCTAAAACAAAGCCTTAGATGCCATTTCCCATCCCCAAATTGTTCCTTCCAAAGTCTTCTGCAAGACATTAAATAGCACCATCACCTACCCTCTTTCTAAAGGCAAAAAATCAGGAAGCCCTCCTTAATCAACTTGTCTAATTCCCCCACTGCCCTCATCAGCAAGTCCAGCTGGCTGCACCTACAAATACAAGGTCAACTCCAGGGTCTCATCCTAGTTTAAGCTGCCACCATCTCTCCCCTGTGTTATTTGCAACTATCCGCTTACTGGTCTCCCTGTTTCCACCCTTGCTACCCTTTACTCCATCTCCACACTGCAGCCAGAGCAATAAGATAAAAATATAAATCAGATTATGGATTAGGTTATTTCACTGCTTGCAATCTCCAAAGGCTTCCAATTATATTTAAAATAAAACCTCACCTCCTTATTGTGGCCTGCAAAGCCCTGTCTACTTCACCAATCTCTCCTCACACTATGTTCTCTAGTCCAGTTCAGTAAGTTCAAGACACACTGGGCTTCTTCCTAATCTTCATTCCCATCTCAGGACCTTTGCACTGTTCCCTCTGCCAGAAGTGTTTTTCCTCAGTTGCTCACATGTCACCTCCTCCTGAAAGCCCTCCTTCGCTACCCTAACAAGTTCCTCTGTTGCTCTCCAAGTTGATCTCTCCCAATGTTTCCTTTCCTTTCCTTCATTGCCCTCATTACTGATTACAATTATTTATTTGCCTATTTGATTGTTATCTGCACACTCATTAGAATCGAAGTTCCAAGATAGAAGATTAAAGATTTTCGTTCATTCATGCATTCACTCCTTCATTCAACAAATATTTATTAAGCATCTAGTATGTAGAAGACATTGTCAGTTCTGGGGACATAGCAGGCAATACTATTTCAACAATAAACCACTGCCTTAAACATTACAGTTGCTCAATAAATATTAGTTGACTAAATAAATAAATGAGTAAACCAAAAGGTAGGAAAAAGGTTGAATCAGAAGGATGTAGATCACATATACATTACTAACAGTAAAACTAAACTTTAATAACAAAACAACAAAATTGCTAAATTAGACTGGCTGGGACATCCAGATCAAACAATATTGGTCCAGAGAAAATGGGCTAGGAAAGGCTACCTCATTGGGATTTCTGAAATTATGCAAGAATCATTAAAATGTAGAATATGACTGTGAATAACCAGCATGAAAATACCAAGTGCATTTCTTCTATTCACAGAATGACTACCCAGTAACTTATTAGGTATAATTTATTAAGGGCTTTCCTTGACAAATGAAAGGAAACTGTATTTGCAAAGGAAACTGCAAATACAGTTTCCTTTCATTTGCAAACTTGTACTGCCGATTTCTATCAATAATTTTGTATCTAGGATTTAATGAATCTTTCAGGAATTTTTATAAACTGCTGCAAGTCAAAGTCAAGAGACAGTATTTGCAAGAAGCAGTGTTTCAAAGGTTGAAATGCTATACCTGGTTCTGGCCAGAAACTCTGAAGTTCTCTTCTTCTTTTCAGATACTGGAATATTCTTCATGTATTGCAGTATCACTTTTGTGTGAAGTCACATGTAACTTGTCCCCCTCCTTTCTATCATGAGAACTACTGAAGATATAAACCAAATCCAGGTACAGAAAAATCTCAATAATTCAGGCTATGGAGAAAGCCAGTGGGAGCCATTGCAAAGCCTGAATTCTAGAGCACTAGGGTATGGTATATGTGTTTTTTAAAAACATACATTCAATAATATAAAGTAAGTCAACCAAGTATTGACTTTTGCTAGTACTTGGTGAGGAGGAAGCTAAATTAATGATATATGAAAATACCTTACAATCGCATATTACATATTGATTTGTCCTCAGAAGGAAGATATACATTTTTTCCTATGAGATTACTTATACATTATTTTCTTAATTCACTTTTTCAGAGCACTTTCAATTGAATTTCAGGCAAAATGCAATCTAGGCCTAGTCCAGCTAAATGCAAACTTTGGATTTGTAGGTCTACATTTTTTATTGCAAAACTTAAAAGCATTCTTACATCCACCATTGTAGAGTTACTCTAACATTCTTCAAAATTTTATCAGAGACTTCTCGCTGTTTTTAGGTGTCAAGATACTAATTGTTTTTTACAATGTGCTGTGACTCATACCTAATCACTTTCCTTTAATGACTCAAGCAGGGAAACCAGTGATATTTGTGAATAGTAGATGGGATAAAAGGAGCTGGACACATTATTTCTTCAACATCTGCCATGATATGATTTCATAAGCAAGAAATGTGCCAAGGCTTCTGCCCAAGTAAGCTATTATTCATTTATTTCATTGTTGAGGAATGCCTTAACATGACTAGGATAGAAAAATTATGTTGCTATGCTTATACACGAAAAAAAATGAATGGACCAAAGGAGAAGAATAAAAAGCCCAGGAAACCACAAAGACTTTCAGCAGCTTTATGCCAAAGGGGAAAAAATGATCTTTGTAATGAATGGTGCTGATCAGTGGATATCAAAACGGGAAAATAAACATACCTTCACCCCCTACTTCACACAAGTTACAGCTATCAATTCTAGAAGTACAGGTTTCACTATGAAAAATAATAAAGTTTCTAGAAGAAACATAGAGCATCTTCCATCTTCATGACCTTGTAGTATGAAAAGATTTCTTAAATAGATCCCAAATTCCCAATCATATTGGGAAAAATAATAAATTTCTATATTAAATTAAGAACCTTTATTCATTGGCCAAATGCAGTGGCTCACAGCAGCCTCCCAAAATGCTGTAATCCCAGCACTTTGAGAGGCCAAGGTGGGCGGATCCCTTGAGCTCAGGAATTCAAGACCAGTCTGGGCAACGTAGTGAGAATTTGTCTCTACAAAAAATGCAAAACAAACGAACAAAAAAATTAGCCACTCATGGTAACACACACCTGTAATCCCAGCTACTTAGGAGGCTGAGGTGGGAGTGTGGCTTGAGCCTGGGAGGCAGAAGTTGCAGTGGGCCAAGAATCACACCCACTGCACTCCAGCCTGAGTGACCAAGTGAGACCCTGTCTCAAAAAACAAACAAAATAAATAAATAAATAACTTTCATTCATCAAAAAGACACCAACATCAAGAAAGCAAAAACTACAGCTCACAGAATGGAAAGTAATATTTCCAACATTTATCTAACAGAGAACACATTTCCATAATAAATAAAGGATGTCCACAAATCAGTAAGAAAAAGACACAAACCCAGTCGGAAACTGGGCAAAAACATAAACAAGTACTTCACAAAATAGAATATCCAAATGGCCAATAAACATACTCAAAGATAGCAAATCTCATTAGTCATCAGGGAAATACAAATCAAAAACACAATGAGATAACACTATACACACAGTGAGTGGAATGGCTAAAATGAAAGACATATGATGCCAATTGTTGAGTAGGATGTAAAGAAGCTGGAACCCCCATAAATGCCTCTGTTGAACATGTATGTTGGTAGCACCATGTTTAAAAAGTTGCTGGCAGTATCTATTAAAGCAGTGTGTAGGCATATCTCATGACCCAACAGTTTTACTCCTAGGGATCCGCATTACGGAAATGCATGCATATGTTCACTAAAAGATATATACAAGAGGCCGGGTGTGGTGGTTCATGCCTGTAATCCCAACACTTTGGGAGGCTGAGGCAGGCAGATCACAAGGTCAAGAGATCGAGATCATCCTGGCCAACATGGTGAAACCCTGTCTCTACTAAAAATACAAAAATTAGCTGGGCATGGTGGCGTGCATCTGTAGTCCCAGCTGCTCAGGAGGCCGAGGCAGGAGACTCACTTGAACCCAGGAGGTGGAGGTTGCAGTGATCTGAGATCACGCCACCGCACTCCAGCCTGGTGACTGAGTGAGACTCCGTCTCAAATTTAAAAAAAAGATATATACAAGAATATTCATAGCCCAAATTGGAAGCTACCTGAATGCCCATTCAATGGTAGAAAGGAAAAATAAACTGTGGTATATTCATAATGAGTTAGTGAAATAAGAATGAGAAAACTGCAACCACACAGAACAAAATGAACATCTCTCACAAACATCCTGCTGAAACAGTGCAGACAGACACAAAAGAGTAGATACTGTACAATTACTTTGACATAAAGCTCAAAAACAGGCACAACTAATCTGGAGCCTCAGACGTCAGGATGGTGGTTTGTCTTTTCAGGATTTTAACTGGAAGGGGCATGAGGGAGGCTTCTGGGATATTTAAATGTTCTGAGACATTTTTGCTCTAGGTGCTGATTACATGTTCAATTTGTGAAACTGTTCAATTTGTGAGAAGTCATCAAGCTGGACACATGATCCTTACATAAAACTGAACACTTATAATTTATGCATAAAATAAAATCTCACAGCAAGACATTTTATATTTTCTTCAGTTTATTTTTGATTATATATGTAGAGGCCAATTTTACATGATAGCTTCAAACCAACCATTGTACATTAACCAAATTTTACACAAGCCATTTGAAAAAAGATCTAAAAATGTGCTTAGTTATTGGTATTATATAACATTTATCAAGCACCAAGAGTGTGCTGAGAGCTGTACAGAACAAACATAGAAAAGACACAGTCCCTGCCTTCAAGAATACCCATTCCTTCAGGATCTTGCACATAAAATTTCACCTTACATTCCACACTCTTTTATTCATAAGGCATAAATAAGGAAGTTCGTTGCATTTCTCATTGTTACTTAATAAATATTGAATACCCTTTTCCCCAATTATATGAACAATTATTCGTATCTTTACCTTTAAATACAAATTTTCATAGTACAATATACAGTATATACTGATTTGGTATTCACACAATTGACCACAATATTCTTGCAGGTTGGTTATAATATGAAGCATGTTGAATTTCAACATTCACAAACTTTTATACCACTTAACAGAATCTTTTACTGTTGGCAGAGCTTCTTCTGTTTTGTTTTTTCTATTAAGAAAAAGAACCAACAAATGTGATGCCACTGCTCTTATCTTGATAACTTGTAAACAAAAACAGCACTGCCTTGATTCCAATAAGGGTATCAGAACTATGGCACAGATATTCAGAACAGTGATATTTAGCACGTCTATTAAACTAGCCTTGCAGCTATCAATCACATAGTTGCATGCCTTAAAATACTAACAATTTATGATCAGCTAGTAATGGATGATGTAAGTATGATTTACCTTACTGTATTTGCAGTTTAATGAAGGGGATACTGGTATAAAATTTCTGAAAAATATGAGCGGGAAAATATTTTTTGCTTTTCTGCAAGGCTGTGTTCAAAACAAATTCAGATTAGAAGATGAAATGATTACAAATTTAATCATTGATTAAGGATATTTAATTTCAAACTAATCTCTTAAATAATAACATTTTATTACTTTTAAAATGCAGGAAAAATGAAGTGAATTTTGATAATGTAATTTTAGACTCAGGTACAAGAAACTGCCCTTTATATAAAAATGCCAGAGTATGGTGGGAGATGGCACCCAGTACAGTAGAGAGGCCCATCCGTATGTCACCTCTGGGGAGCTCATTGTAACAGGAGGTGATGGGCAAAGATTAGAGGGATGGATAGATGTTTCCCTCCTAGCCAAACTCTGTCTTGCTCAGTCTGCAAACTGAGGGAATAGAGGAGATAGGGTGAGTCTCAGGGTCAGGGAAGGAAGGCTGGGGTGAGCTTGGGGTCAATGGCAAGAAAGGCTCCAACTGTGAACTTTACCTTCTATCTATCCCAAGACCCCAAGCATCCAGTAGCTCCAAGCCATGGTAATGATTCATAACCTCAACATCAGATTTGGTATTATCAGGCTGAGGATGACCCCTTTGCAGAGAAACCCACCTTACTTTTGGCCTCCATTGTCCAATTTCCTGGATTATTACCAGGTCTAGATGTTGCCATTATTCAACAACAATGTTGAGTTGAATTTTAAAGCTCCTTAAAGCTACTCTGGACTCAGAGCAAGACTGAATTTCTCTGACTACCTCTCCAGCTATGGAAAGTATAGAAGAATATTCTACAGAATCCTTTCATTTTCAAGCCTGAGGTGTGACTTATAGTCATGCCCTCCCAAGGTAGCTAGGGATATGCCCAGATGGGGTCCACTAGGAATAGACTCAGCCAAGGGCAGTGGAAAAAGTGGTTTGGTCCAGCCTCTATGGTCCTACCTGTCAAATGGAAGATTTGGGGTGGATTTGACTAGATTTTTCTTATTCTGGGTAAGTACATCTCCATTCTTCTGCAAATCCAGAGCAAGAGGTTGGGAGCTACTATCTCTGATGCTCTGACACTTAATCTGCGATAAAGAGGAGACTAGTGGGGCTAGAATGTGGTACAGAGTCTTACTGGTTGAGGGGTTAGGTAGAAAGGCAATGCCCAGAGTGGTAACCTAGCAGTCTCTTTGGGGTGAAAGAAACAACCTTATGTAATATGCCCCATTGAAAACAGAGCACCAAAGAGTATAATTCTGATGACAGATAGTAACATATACATATTTTTTTATTTTCAATTATAAATCCTCAGTTTTTCATACTAAGGCTTAAGTTTTCAGTCACTGAAATTGAAAATCCATACATAAACATGATAATACAAATAGATAACATGAAGATTTCTAAAAATAAAGGTTTACTACAGATGAAAACATTCATCCCTCACTTGTTAACATAATAAAATTAACTGTCTACCCCTTAATGGTGAACAACAGAATTAGACACAGCAAGCTAAGCATTATTTGGGATTTTTCAGAATGGATGCTAGACTCCTATTGCTTTAAAACTTGAGATGCTTCAAATCTCTCTTTTAGAAATGTATTATATCGTACAGAGTGATTACACTTGCTACCAAAATCTGTTTATATCCCACCTTGTTATCAAAAATATATATATAAGGTAGCTAGTTTCTGTCAATCCTTTTTTTCTTTAACCTGTAACAACACACTGGAATCAGATGCTGATAGGGATTCTTTCTGTTCCATTATTGGCAAAGCACCATTCAGCAGGTGGAGACAGATCAAATTTGGATGAAATTACAACAGCTTCTTTTACACTAAAGAAACCTTGCTCTCAGGTTATTTAACAGAGAAGACAATAAATGAAAATCAGGTATTTAGATAGACATATAGATAAGTGGTTAAATAGATATTTTTTGCACTGCTGACAAGTATTCAAAACTCTGGAGTAGGTGTTGGGGTAACTGAGAAGACCTCGGTGCCTTTATTATTATTATTGAACAAGCTTTCAAAATCTTTTTAAAGCCATTGAAAATGGCAGATATTAGTAGTGCATGAAAACCATCGTTTACAGATAGAATGTCAATGTTTAGCCATTGTCTCTACTCTTCAAGGCACAAGGACAAGTTCCAAACTCTTCAACTCATGTATGAGAGGCAGAGCATCTGGTACCACCAGGAGATAGAAAATCAAGGAATAGAGCCACACACCAAAGCAAGAACAGGAGATCCTTTGGAATGGCCATGATTTTCAAATACTGACCTTACATCATTAGCAAGCAGCTCCCCTACACTTTGGATTGAGGATGGGAAGGTCTCCTGGCCTGAATACCTTGGCCCATCATGCAGTCTGAGCATACTTCATTCCACGCCTGACTTGGTAGTCCAGCTCCTTCTTACTCCAAGTGCAAGGAAGAAGGTCCAGAATGTTTCCATGAAGATCTGCAGTGATGCAGACATTCTGTCTTGTTCATGACAAAAGGGCAAGAATGAAACATCAGTAGCCCTTGATAAAAGTCGACAGAGAAGTAATACCCTTTAGGGATGCACACCCTATTACTTCACCAGCAATAGTCTAAGAACTTTATGGAAAAGAGAACCCACCCTCTTTTCTTCTTATGTTGCTACTTCCCTTAGTTTCTTCTAAAGAGGCATGTATTAAATATCTTCTGTATAACTTATTCCCCACCATGAAACATCATCAAAATGGAAAGAACCCAATTAATCTTCCTTTTTTTTTGGTTGGAATATTCAATTTGTATTTATTGATAGTCCATTATGTTCTTTTGGTAGGAAAAGATATTGCACTTCTAAAAATGCATCAGAGTGTAATTGAGTCAAACCTAACAGGTAGGTAGATTTCTCACTAGAATTAGTATAGTTTCTGAAAACCACCTTCATTCAATATTTGTAGAAATGCCTCCATGATTTCATCTCTGTTTCAATAAATTGTTGTCTCACTGCTGCAAGATTCTAAAATACAGACGACAACATCGATAGTCATAAGCTGTACGTAAGGTTGCATTCTTAGCTCATGATTTCATTGTGCAGATGGGCACGACAATAACGAGGATGACGGTGCATGCCGCGGCAGCGATCAGAGCAGCTATCTTGCAGACCTTGGCTCGTCTGAATTCGGCTTCTTTACGTTTTAGTAATGAATCGTATCCTGGAGTATAAATGTCTTCCATCCAGTACTCTAAATTGTTTGGGTTTAAAGATTCTTGCGTCTAAAAGTGAAGAGAAGATGTTAGAAATACGGTGAATACTTGAAATCAGGTCAAAGACGTCCTGACAGTCATCACTCCTGAAGCACTTAAGTTGTCTGCAGCTGGGAGTTAGAGACTGTGTTGCATAACATTGCCCCACCAGCCCCTTGCCTGAGGCAGGCTACCACAGGCTCATCCCACATATCACAGATTGCATGGGCCCCTCCCTCACTAAAAATGTCGTGTTGGTTTTGACACAGAGAAACCCAAGGGTCTTTCATCCGTAAGCAAGCAAAATGGGGCTGAGATGAGCAAGATTCTAAACTTCAAGGGCATGCAACCAAGAACAGGCGGGCCCCTCTGCAAGGGAAACAAGGAAAGTCACTGAAAAATGCTTTCTTCCAACAGGCTCTATGAACAGATCTGCTTGAAACAAGACCATCCATCATAGCATTCTGAAAAGCTTCTACTGAAAAATCAAAGGAACCTCCAAGATGAGCAGTTCAAACAAAATATAAAATATTTCAACTTCAACCATTTATCTGAGCAGGTCATGCCACTGCTCAAAGTCAAGGTCTACTGACCCCATAGCAGACTGTTCCCACCCCAGACCTGCCGTGGCAATGGATCCAGTCTTGGTGCAGCTTCCCCAAAGAGAGAGCCCCCACTGACATCTGTCTGCTGATCTCCCCAAGATTAATCAACTGTCATCAGGAGAAATACCATATTTAACCTGTATTGCCTGTGAATCCTATTCCACGTTGACAGTTAAAATCTATTTCCATGAAGAAAGGCAGTGTTCTCATTTTATGGCAAGCATTTAATAATATGAGTGTCACATAAAAGCAACAACACATTGCAATTCCAAGTGAGGCCATTTAAGTCTTTGAAATGCAAACAAAATATCTATTTTGAAGATTTTCTTAGATTGCTGTATGTTCAAAAACATGGGCACATTAAAAATTATTCATACACATATATAAACACAGGCCCAAAAAACAAACCTTTCAAAGTTTTAAAAAACTCAGTTGTACCATTTATTGATCGAACAGTGATGATTCTAATGCATGCTAGTAATTCTCTGCCTGGCCTTCTAGATTCATTCTGTTTTTTTTCCATCTTGCTCTGTGCCCCTAGGAATATAAACTACATGGACACATCATGGGGACTCCCCTGCCTTCAAGCTCCCATGGAGTTTCAACCAATGAAGACAAGAAGAAAGAGAGATTGAGGTATTTATTCCCCCAGCACCCTCCTGGCTGGGCTGCAGTTTGTCAGTGGCCCAGCTCCTATTGGACACCTGCTATCAGAGCTGTGGGTCTCAGTGAGTTTCAGAAACAGCCCCTTTCCCTTGGCCCTTCAGATCCAAGGGTGGCAAAAGCTTCCTACTGGTGCTGGTCTCTGGGTGCTTCACCAGCTATTGTAATGAGTCCCCTCCTTAACTACCCCTTTGAGCACGCCACCTGCCTGCTGCCAGGACACTGACAACCCGCAGGCCCTGCCCCCCCAGGCTTGATTATCTACCTGTTGCTCACAGTCATCTAGCACACAGCTAGGCACACTATGGCCTGCAGGCCATATCTCACCTGCCACCTGTCTTTTTACAACCCTTGAACTAAGAGTGATTTTTTTCCATTTTTAAATGGTTGAAAAAAAAATCAAAAGAATAATATTTTATGACATGTGAAAATTATATGAAATGCAAATCTCAGTGTCCAAAAATAAAGATTTATGGAAACACAACCACTCCTAATTGTTTCCAAATTGTCTATAGCTGTTTTCGTGCTACAATGGCCGAGTTGAGCAGTTGTGAGAGATTATAAGGCCCACAAGGCCTAAAGGGTTTACTATCTGGTCGTTTACAGAGAAAGTTTGCCAGTTCCTTTCTAAGACATGCTATACGACACTGTACAATGGAAAGAGAAGGGAATCTAGGCATCACAGAAAATCTTCCTGGTCCCTTCCCTCACCAAGGCATAATGTTGAGAGACTGCTATTTAATTTCTCAAGTTATGTGGAAGGCTGGAAGGTGGTCCTGGACACTCAGGGCACCCAAAATAGAAACCAAGACACTCTCAATGTGGGAAAAGTCCTTATTGTACAGGGTGCTCTGTCCAACTCTTCAGCCTTTGCAAGAAACTCCTGCTACAGCATCCTCTGCTGGAACCCCAGGAGCCTCTTCCCTGAGCTTCCCGGAGCAGTTCCACTGCTGCCAAGCCCTGACTGTTGGACCGCCTCCTCCTCCTGCTTGAGCCGCCAAAGCTCTACCTGCCACAGGCCCTTGGGGCCAGACTGCTCTCCTTGGCATGAAAACATGAAAGCCCTTCAGCAATTTAATAGACACTAAAGAAAGGAGAGATGGACCCAAGATGGGCATATTTTGCTGGAAGACTGGTCTGCAGAAGTGGGTAATATGCCCCTAAAGGCTGGGAGCTGGTGGAGGGTCAGACCAGCAGCCCTCCATACCCTGGCACCTGGAAGTCAGGCTCAGCACACTATGGGTAAAACAACCTGCTCTTCTTCCCAGTCATCCTAGGGCTGGCCCAGGAGCCAAACAGTGTGTAAATAAAACATCAGATTTTGTGCTTTAGTCCCTCCGGCTCATACAGAAGGAAATTGGCTTCCTTTCATAGCTATATACACTATTATGGGCTGGGATTCAGTGTGTGGAATAAACTATTTTTAATTAGTTTTTTCAATAACTGTAAGCTGTAATCGCATCAAGTAGAAGAGAGGTAATACTGAGGTTTCAAGGGACACAGGCGAATGTATGCAGTTATTAATTAACCCTCGCAAACACTGGAAAGAAGAAAAGGGTTTGCACCTTTGCCTATGCCCTCAAGTGAGAACCACTGATGGCGAATGTACATCTCAACACAAAGGAACTCCGGGAAGATTGTCCAGACACCAACACTGCCCTAAGACTGTACCCGAGTCTCTGCAAAGAGATGAAAAGAAAAAAGGTGGTACTTGCTGCCTTCACCAAGCTCTCAAGGTTGGCTCTTTTTTGCTGTAAACACCCTCATACGGCTATTGAACTCTCCACTTCCTCATATTTTATGCAACTGGATACTCTCTCCTTTGCACTTTTAAGTAATGTCACCTAAAGCTCTATAACCCAAATATCTGTTTTTAATTTTTATAATTTTATCTTCATGCTTATAAACATTGGTGCACTAAAAGCTCACATATCTGTAGGGGGAAAATCTTCCAGCTCCCTCCCTGCAAGCTTTGCAAAGATGTTTCTCAGTCTACGACTCACCTAATTAATCGAACTCTTTCAAGGTCATCCAGTGATACTGGTGAAATATTGATTATTCCGTTGCTTGAACCATTCACACCTCCAGGTCCTTTCTGACCCCCAGCTGCTCTTGGTATTCTAATTCCCACAGATTGAGGTATGACGCCCATAGCAGAGCTGCACAGGGACCCACTGGAGGGAGAATCAAATCCCTCTCTAGCCTCCTTGCCCACAGGAAGTTGACAGAAGAGGGATTGACCTGAAGGGTCAAGGGGTGTGCAGTACAAGTGGGAATGTAAAATGCAAGAGGTAAGAGGGGTGAGGATGGGTTCAGGGTTGCTCCTGATGCGCCCACAACACTCACTGTCTGGCCAGAGCTGCCCCTTCCCATAATTGCTGTCATTTAGGGCCCAAGACAAACAAATGTCATTGCAATCATTTTTTTTTTTAAACAACATAAAACTCCACTAAACTCTTAACAATAGCAAAATGAAATGGTAAGGAAGTTGTAGAAGAGAAAGAACATGAGACTTATTGCCAGATGGTCCAGTATGAATTTAGACTTGTCTGACCTGGGGCAAATTATTGAGCTTCCCGGGGCCTCGATTTCCTCATCTGTAAACTGAAGGTGGTCATAACAATTCCTGCCTCACAGGCCACTGTGCCTGGGACTGAGAGACTGTAGAAAGCACTATGCAAAGTTGATTGATTTCAGCGTCATTGACCAGCCCCCAAGGGCCTTCTTTTTCAGTGCCTACTGGATGCCAGGTACTTTAAATATATTATTTTTAATTCTTACAGTGACTCACAAGCTCGATATTATTATGTCCATTTAACAGGTGGAGGGGTTGAACCTCAATCAGATGGAGTGCATGCTTCCGGCCACACAGCGAAGGAGTCCGGGATGAAAACCCAGTGCTGCCAGAATGTGGTCTTTTCTCTCCACCACACTGCACCTCCCACAGCCCTCTGTTCTAGAGCAAGGCCACTTCAGGGAAGCCTTGCCATACTGATCTCCACAGGCAGCTCTCACCAACTGTGCTTCACGTGCATGGTCATTCCAGGGCCTGGGCGGAACGGGCACCCCTGGTGCTATGGCCTGGCTGCCGGCAAAGCTAGGTGCACAGGTGGGGACAGGGTGCTTCCTTTGCTCCTGTGGTGATCTGGAGACACAGATCAACCCAGTGTGAATGGAACCAGGCAGAGTTGCCCACCAAAATAAAAGTGTGGTCAAAACCCAGCCCTGCCTGTGGGTGAACAAAAAACATGCCCTCCAGCCACAACTGCATTCATAGAGCTTCCGGGGATGGCTCTTACCTGGGGCTGCTCCGTATGGAAACATAATCCATAGCTTGGCTCCCACAAATATGCTTATCCCACGTGCTACATATGGAAGGAGAAATCAGCTTGTATTTCATTAAACAGTTTGGCTCAGGTCTTGTGAGCAAATATTAGAATCTGCACTTGGTACAGAGTTGTAAATGCATCGTTAGCAAATCAGATGGCCGATAAAAAATACATAAATAAATCAAGCATTCCTACTGCTAAATGTTTACAAATAAGCAAAACAATGATCCCCTTGTTAAAAGTCTCTTCTGCTCTATGATTTATTAAAGTTCTGAATTCCATGTTGGGGTCCCAGGGAGTTGGAGGGTGTGGAAGTGGGCTGGTTGGTCTAAGCCGTCTGTGATCCATTCCTGCATTTGCCCGGGCACAGCTGGGCTTCCCCCAACCCAGGGACAATGAGAGGCTCACCTGCAGGTCCAGGGCTGTCAGCTTGCCCTTGTCACTCGCATTCCGTGCATACTCCTCAATGGTCCAAGAAGGTTGGCCCCTCTTCACCTCGGCCAACTCAGTCAGCCGCATGTCTGTGTACAGTGGGTTGCTCTTCATGTGGGCCTTGAGGGAGGCAGGGTAGGGGTGAGGGCTGAACACCTGCTCCACCAGGAAGCCGTCTTTGGGCTGCTTGGGCAGTCGGTGCTGTGGGGGAATGTCGTATTGCCTGTCTGCCTGCAGAGGGGCACAAAGAAGTCCAGACAAGTGGCAAAGATGCCCTTGGATTTCACAGTGCAATTGAGCAGCCAGCAGCTTTCCTGTAGACATCCAGGTAGCAAAGTGCAGTTACTTCCAAGCAAATCGAAAGTGTGAAAACAGCCATGTTGGGGGAAATTCTCTAGGAAAAGCTTATGATCATAATGTTACTAATATAAAGTAACATTTCTGTGCCAGAAAAAGGTTATTTAATGGAGCCTTTATGCCATCACTACCATTGTGAATCCCCATTGTACAGGTAGGAAAACAGAGCCCAGACTCAGTAACTTGCCCCAGGCACACAGCTAGTAAGGGGTGGAGCTAGGATTTAAACCTGATCATCTGGCTTTAGAGAGTCTTTAACTACTGATATTAACGCCCCGTCTTTCTTTTACCGTTTTGCACGGGGTACAGATGAGTAAAAGTCCTTTCCTCAAGGAACTCGCTGAAAACCCTGATGCTACACTGCTTCTTTGGAAGGAAGAACCTGAATCAGAAAGCACGTGTTGAGAGCCTCTACTGATTTTCCCAGGCAGCAGATGGGCCCCTGTCAGAAGGAATACGGCCTTCAGAATAAGAGAGCAGTCTGGGCAGCAGTGTGGAGGTAGGAAGGTGCCTAAAACAGGTGGCAATAGGTTATATTCTGAGTCATTGAATGCAACCCAAAGGTTTCTGCTCTCAGTATACCTGTCCTAAGATTGAGTCAGTGCTCATTTCTGTGACCTCTTAGGACTATATCCAGACTTTTGGCCAGCATTTGTGCCTTTGAACTATAACCGACTGTTTGCCCATCTGGCTCCTCTGCTAAACTATGAGTTCCTTGAAGGCAAGGGATCGTTTTGTTCACCTTTTAATCCCCTTCTCCAGCAAGATGAACCACCAAGTAGAAGACACTCCATGAATATTCATCAAAGGGTTAGAGGCCAATTATATGTAGTCATGTATATGGAACAGAGAGCAAAGAAGTTGTGTATCTCAGTAATAGCAAGAGAAAAAGGAAAAAAGAAGAATGTGAGTCAATGTGTGTGTACAGAAGGAAGAGAAGGAGAATGTTTAGGTGTGATGCGATGAGAGTTGATGTGCAAGAACGTGGTGGGCACATGTGGTGTATGTGTGTGAATGTGTGGCTTATACACTTGCATAGGGGCTGGAAGCACATGTGGTGTATGTGTGTATGTGTATGAGTGTGTGGATCATATGATTACATAGGGGCTAGAAGCACACGTGGTGTATGTGTGTATGTGTGTGAGCATGTGGATCATACGCTTGCATAGGGGCTGGAAGCACACGTGGTGTATGTGTGTATGTGTGTGAGTGTGTGGACCATACACTTGCATAGGGGCTGGAAGCACACGTGGTGTATGTGTGTGTGTGTGGGAGTGTGTGGGTCATACATTTGCATAGGAGTTGGAAGCACATGTGGTGTATGTGTGTACGTGTGTGAGTGTGTGCATCCTACACCTGCATGGGGACTGGAAACACATCTCCACCTACCAGCAAACCCAACCCATTGACTTTTACCCAAATAGAGCATAACATTTGGCTATTCCAGACCATCAAGACTGCTGACACTGACACAGAGAACACAGGATAAACCCACACAAGAAAATGAGGTTCCCTCTTATTTTCTAACTCATCAAAGCCAAGTATCTTCTAAGAGACTTCACCAGTTTTTGCTCATCATCACCACCCAACACTCAGAGAGCTCCTATTACATGCAGAGTCTGCACCAAGGTGGGAGGAAGGGTAGATGGTGATAATAATAACTACAATGGCAGCCACTGCGGGCATAATTGAAATTAACCAAGGGCTATGTGTCCACCACTCTGCTCAGGGCTAAACATGCATTGTCTTCATTTCATCTTCTCATTAAAATTCTGAGGTTGTAACTATTATTGTCCCTAGTATGGATGTGGAAACTCAGGTCAGAAAGGTTAAAAGACTGACTCAACGTCAGACAGCTGGTAAGAGGCAGAGCCAGGATTTGAAACTGTTTTCACTTCTAAGATGGAAAGTTTCACTGCTGCCCATGCCTGTTTGTATCACTGAGTTTGTGTTCTTACTGGGCAGTCAATATATATACATAATACGTATTTTCAAAAAAAGTTTGCATCCACTATGTCTGAACAAACAGAAGTAAGGGCTGGAGACCAGCAATAAGCCCTAGGAAAGCTTACAGAGACTTATGAAGTAAGGGGCCTTGAGGGGAACATAGGACTTAGATCAGTAGGGGGGAGGTGGACCAGAGAGTCTTGGTGGAGGATTCATGTGAAGAAAAATTTGACAGTGAAATAGGACCTGGCCATCATAGGTGCTCAATTAGTGTTTACTGAATCGGTGACCAAATGAATGAGCATGGTTATTTTGAGGAAAAACAGGAAAACTCATCAAGGTAGAGAAGGGTCCAGTCAAGGTATAACAGAGCCTTCTGGTTGAGGAAAGGTACATGAAATTCACAGGGTTGCGAAGGCCTGACTAAGAAGTTTGCAACTCTTTGTGGAGGCAAAGGAGAGTCAGAGAAGAGTGGGGAATAGGGGACCCTGCGCAACCACAGAGTGGCATTTTAGGAAAGTGAATGCAGCAGTGGCCCATGAGATGAGATGGAAGGTAGAGAATGTGCCCAAGCATCCCCAGTAGGGGAAGAGCCTTGACTCAAGGTAGAAGTGTAAATGGAAAAGAAGGCAGAGTTGCAAGAGACATGACAGAACACAAATCCATAGGGTCTGGTAGCTATGCTGGACACAGTGAGCCCAAGAAGAGGGACCAAAGGGGCTTCTTTAGTTTGGAGGATTGCTACAATGCTGACCCCATCCTCACCTCTCCCAGAATGGAAATAGTGAGAGGGAACACTGGTTTTAAAGGAACAGAAAAGCCTGCTTTGGGAACTGTAGATTTTGACATGTAGACAAGACATTTAGGGAAACTGGCCTTTAGCAGTTTGACATATGCAACCAAAGCTCCAAAGGCGGGCTGGGTCTGGTCACTACCATGGGAATCACCACCTCAAAGTTAGTGAGAGCCACAAGCCAGGAAGGAGAAATGAGGTTGCAGAAGGGGACAAAATAAAGAGAATGCATCCCCAGCATTAGCAACTTTGTGTTAGGCCTATCGAGCAGATCTGACTCAAGCTTGTGACTGCTCATTCCTGGGGCTTTGTGAAGCTTTGACATTTGATAGATGGGAGGCATGGCTAGTTCAGTTTAACCTGATATTTCTACAGAAGCACCTAACCATTTGAGTTATCTAAATGGCCACTGTTCAATGATATCTGAAACCCAAAGCACCAGAAACCTGGCCAGACCCTGGCAGCTAAGAGACAGTGACAATAGAACCCGAGCAGAGGACTGGATCTGGGTGTCTTGTGCCCAGCATGGCAGCACAAACCAAATTCTGGATCCTCTCCAGCACCAAACGTAGTAAGCCGCTCCATAAGGGCAGAGTGGTAATCAGCAGACACCAGAGGTTTCTTTAAAATCAGAAAAAAAAAAAAAGACTTCTTCTACTCCCTCCCCTCTTTGGACCCTGAAAATTTCCTTAAAACCCAGTTTTCCAAGCTTTTCCTTCTCAGCACCATTCAAGGAGCTCAGCCTCCTCCCTGGCTTTGAATGTCTGTAGCCCACACCACTGTCACTCTCTGACAACACAGACCTTGGAGACCTCAGGAGCAGGGACTTGTCTGTCCATTGACCTTCTAGAAGCAGGACATGGAATGGAGACAAGCAACACACTGAAGTTGTATCACCTTGGCCAGAAAGGGGTCACTATAACCCAGTTAGAATGAACAGGATTCGCCACAGGTCCCACAGAAACAAATCATCCTTACTGCAGGGGGTGAGAGAAAGAAATGATTCAAGTATATGTGTACACAATGATTCTAGGACTGAGGAAGTGAAGTCTGCTATAAACATGTAAAAGAACTGAGCTTATGTGAAAGAGCCTCCAACAAGCAACAGTGTAGAGAAAAAAAACTAAAAAGGAAAGGAAGACACCAGATTAAGCATTGCTGTCTTTTTTTGAGACAGAGTCTCACTCCGTTGCCCAGGCTGGAGTGCAGTGCGTGATCTCGGCTCACTGCAACCTCCACCTCCTGGGTTCAAGCAATTCCCCTGCCTCGGCCTCCTGAGTAGCTGGGACTACAGGCTCGTGTCACCACACCCAGCTAACTTTTTACATTTTTAGTAGAGATGGGGTTTCAACACATTGGCCAGGCTGGTCTCGAACTCCTGACCTCATGATCCTAGTTATCATTTTACTTCCTAACCATCAATTTATTTTATAATGAAAAAAAACCTCGTGCTTAAAAAGGAACATCACACATGCAATGAAGTCCATGAAACGGATGTATCAACTAGCAACCTTTTCAGCATTTTCCCTTATGTACCTGACCTGCATCCTGCTATTTCAGAAAGGACAGGAAGATACCCTTGGTGATGCTTGCCTGGGCTGACACATTCCCCATTCTATGAAAATCTGTTCTCACACCACCTGTCCCATGAATCCCAACCCTACGTTCTGCTGTCGGCACCATCACAGCATGTGCTCCTCCTAGCTGACGGACAACTTGGCGGAACACATGACCTGCCTATGTTGTCCTCTCTATTCCAATGTGAAAAGCCTGCCAAACCTGGAAGGATAATTGGCACACAGAGGACAGGCCTCTTGCCTGTTTAATGCCATGTTCAAGGCTTTGAAATATGCCAGGGCTGTGATGAAGCTGGTGCCTGATTTTGTGAACTTAAATTTAAATTACCTCTTTAGATTTCCGATGCCAGTCTTTATTATCTCCTGGGCCTGTGTCTTTTATCTCCTCCTCATTGAGGCCCACACGGTTGGTATAAGTGATGGTGCGCCAGTCTCTGGGCGAGTTGGAGATGCTGGCGATTTTGGACTCTGTGGCACTGTTCTCCTCTGTTAGGGATCTAGAGGATGGCCTGGTGAAGAGGCTTTTTTTTAAGGCCTTGACCCGCAGGCTCTCGCTGTTGCTCCCGCTAGCATCAGAGCAGCACCAGTCGGGGTTGTTCTCCAGTTTTGGTCCATGGGAGCCACTGTGTGCACGGAACATCCGGGGAGAGGCACTGTCATCAGACGGAACCTCGCTCGTCAAGGAGTTCAGATCTATCTGCACACTCACCTTCTCAGGCTGTTGCATTTTCTGGTCCAATTTATTTAGTTTGCCCAAGACCTGGGAGATTTCCTCACGGACACCCGACAGGGATTCCAGCTTCCGTTCAATTTCGCCGATCCTGAGCACCAGTTTGCACACACTGGTCTTCAGTTCTTCTTCCGAATGGTGGGTGTTTTCAGGCCGGTTGCCCTTGTCTCCCTTGCTGTTGTGGACCCCATTGGCAATTTTGGTTAAGTTGTGCTCGGGGGAACTATCGCAGTCTGACTTATGGAGCTGAGACAAGGACCCTGTGCTGTTGTAGCAGGACGACTGTATCACTCCTGTGGAGCCACTGATGCTCATGTCATCAAGAAATCGGAAAATGTCACTGATGTCGTCGCTGACAATTTCTGAGTCATCGTCTGAGTGCTTCATGGTGTGCCTGTCACTGTACTTGCCCTGACTGGAGGTGCACAGGTCTCTGCATTTCTTGGGCTCCAGCACGTGCTCAGTCTGGGTGCCCACGCTACTGGTATCTGAGCTGAGCTGCCCACTGGTGCAGTTAATGCTCTTGTCTTTAAACTTTTTGACCGGTTCATGCTTCTCCAAGTCAACAGGGGAGGAGATCTCTTTAGATTTGAGCCCGTTTGGTTTTGCCGCATAAGCAATGGGGAGAATTGGCTGTTGATCCTTTGGCGGGAGGTAAGTCGGGCGCCTGTCTGGGGCTGGGAAATTGGGAGTCTGGCTACTGGCATTTGGATAGCGTAGCCTCTCCTCGGAGGGATTTCTATTGAAAAAGGACCGTTCAAAGTCAGGAACTTCCTCCGTGTTAAGGCTCCAGCTTTTGGCTGGCCAGGGAGTCTGCTTGTTGGGCCTCCCTGGACAGCGCCTGGCTTCTTGGGTTCCCATCACTGGAGTGGGCCCAAAATACGTAGAGGCTTGAAGGTCATCTAAGCTTTCATGCTTTGCTCGCCTTTTGTCAGGAACCGGGGAATACACCGGATTCAGGTACTGGCTGTTATAGGGCATTTCAAAGCTGTGGTTGAAGAAGGGTGGCTTGTGGGGTTCCTTTCGGCTCTGGGGCTCCCCGTGCTCATTCTCTGCTTTGCTGACGGGGCCAACCAAACTGGGGGACACCGCCATCAAATTGTGAAAATCCTCTTTAAAGATATTCCTTTTCTGGACACAGGACTGAACCACAAAAGGCTCGTCATTGGAAATGAAGGTCTCCTTGATGCTCTGGTTGATGGGCAGCGAGTCCTGGTCTGAAATGGACTCATTTTCTATGTTCATGGGGAAGTAGGTCCTCTGCATCTCACAGGGCTGAGGGCTGGTCACAGAGTACGGGGCCAGGGCCTGCAGCCTGTCCAGGGAAGCAGCACGGTTTTTCACCTCTTTGCTAACTCCCAACAGGAAATTAGGCTCAGAGGCAGGGACAAACTGCGGGCAGTCCTTGCAGTCCATCTTCCGGCACTTGGACGACTGCCTGGTGGGGTAGCCCCGGCTGAAAGACCTCTCACTCAGCTCACAGTTCAGGGGCTCACACTCGGCTGCATTGCAGATCTCTGTATCCGACCTGCATGATTCAAAGGACGCCTCCTTCTTGCGCACCTTCTGGCGACCCGTAGGCAGCTTCTCCTTGGCTGCCCCGCCATTCATTTGGATCAGATTAAATATCGTCACAATATCTGCTGCCACCATGATTTTCTTTGATTGCTGGTTATTCACAGTGCATTTCATCTTGTCTTTGAATAGAGTGGCTGGAAAATTGGGATCGAGACAAGCCGTGTAGAAAAGCACGCTTCTCAGTTTTGCAAGCTGCGACAGATCGAACCGGGCACAAAGAGATTTGCACAGGTCCTGATAAGAAACGGTATTTTGCTTGCTGTCCAGTTCCTCCAAGATCTTTACCAAGAAGAGGGAAGTTTCCTGATTGGTCTCCATGATTTATTACTTGAAAAGCTCGCTGACTACACTGAAACTTCAGGTCAGTTCTGTGGTGGCAATATTGAGAAAGAGAGGAGGAAAAGAGGATTATAAACACCAGTGGAGTTTGAAGTCAAGCTTCTTATAAACCGTATAGAGAAAAACATTTTAATGATTAAAAATGTAGTAAGGACAGTAAAAATATTCATAACATTCGATTTAGTAATTCCCTTCCTGGGAATCTACCTTAATGATTGATGATAACAATTATGCTTAAAGGTGTTCACTATGATGGCACTTACAACAATGAGAAAGCAAAACATCTTAAATATCCAAATAGGTGAATACAAACATGTTATGATATACCATGAATTTTTACAAACATTGAAATTACATTAATGTACATTCTTACAATGGAATACTACTCATCAGCAAAAAAGAATAAACCACTAGTACATGCAAGGACATGGATGAATCTCGAATGTATTGTGTGTGGGTGGAAGAAGCCAGAGTCAGAAGGTACATCCTCCACTGCATGATTCCATCTTAATGACATTCTGGAAGACAGATCAGTAGTTGCCAAGAGCTGGATGTGAGGAGGGGGGTGGACCTCAAAGGGGCACAGAGAAGTTTTCCTAAATGATATAATTGTTCTACATCCTGGTTGTGGTGGTGGTTACATGACTGTAGATATTTGTCAAAACTCACAGGACTCTAAACTAGAAAGTGTAAGTTTTACTGTATATAAATAATAACTCAACTTAGAGATTACATAATGAAGACTTTTCATAACAAAACTGTGATATAATATGGAGTGAAAAATATGAAAATAAATCAGTATAAGATCATAATTGTATAAAATTATGTATTCTTGAAAACAAAAATGAAAAAATAATGTGCACTAAGATGCTAATAGTAGTTAAGTTTGGATTGTAAATATGGATTTTTTTTCTGAATTAGTAATCTCTCTTCCCTAATACTTTATTATGTAAGTTATCAAATATACAGCAAAGTTGAAAGAATTTTATAGTGAACACTAATCTACCCAACATCTGGATTCTCCATTAATATTTTACTTTATTTGCTTTATTACATATCTATCCATATTTTCATCATCGAACTTTCTTTTTTCTTAATTCACTTCAGAGTAAATTGCAGACATCTGTACACTTCTTCCAAATACTTCATCATATATATCATTAACCCAAGTTCAATAATTGTTCACAGATTTTCTTTTAATGTAAAATGTACATACAATGAAGTGCACAAATCTTAAGGGTGCATTGGCTGAAGTTTCAACAATTATGTATGCCTGCGTAGAAACCAAAGCCCCTGTAAAGAACTAAAATGTTCCCATTGCCCCAGAAAGTTCCCTCACATCCTTTTCTGTTCAACCACTGTTATTTTTAGAGGTTTTTTTTTTTTAAAATCATTTCCCATCTTTTCTAAAATTCTTTACAATGAGCATTTGTTATTATGTAAGCACCAAACAATAATAAACTTTACTTTGAAATTGAACAAAAACAGTACATTAACAGATCTTGGATGGGCAAATTAAAAATACCAAATCAAACCTTTACCAAAATTTCATTAGAGAAGGTCTTCACCCTTGGCTGATAAACATAGATGCAGGTTCTAAGACTTGTAGAGACACATCAAATTACACAATGTGTTCATTTCCCTGGTCGTATACTGCTTACAAAATTAGTATTTTGATAACTGATTTATTGATTTTAAAGCTAACACAGTCCACATGTATCCAACCCATTTTCTAGGGGAATGGTATATTTTCTTTGGATTCAATTTTAGCAGCTCGAGGTAATGAGCTTTCTCTCCATCCTGAAGGCAGCCACTCCCAGTGGGCTTCTATAAACATTAGCCTGGTTTCTCCCATGAATGTCTGGTGGGATATGCAGAGACCAGTGGTTCGCATTTTCTTGCAAGGAAAAGGAAACAAACTCTTGACAGGTTCTGTTCCTGTCCAGAACAAGTCACTGGGAAAACCATTTTTTTTCCATCCCGCCCCAGCCTTCCAATCCATCTGATGGAAGCATTCTGTGTCCAAATGTTCTGGCTTGTTAAAGCGGGGGACAACCTGTCACATGGGGTCTCAAGTAAATGAATGGGTATAGATATCAGAGCACAGGATCAGTGAATGTAATTTTGGGAACAGCAACTACAACTCATGCATATATTTTATAGTTTGGGTGACACGAAGCACTTTCAGGACTTCTAATCCCATGTGTGTCCTACCATGCACCTCCCAGGAAAACCCAACACTTTGCTTCTCTGGGAAGATTTCTCAACTTTCTATCCTACTTTGCATGGCAAAGGAAGTCTTAATCCCAGGTCAAAAACCCTATTTGGAAAACCAAGGCCCAGTGTCTCCTGAAGTGAATAAAAGAAGTACAAATATGGTAAGCCTGAGTTATATTTTATCAAAACTGAAATTAGGAGGTCTGTGGATGGAAACAGGTGCATGGACATGCGTGCAGCACAGGTGCATGTGATGATCAGTTATCATAGAGAAACTGCACCCAGATTTCCTACAATGCACCAAGGAGAACCAGAGAGGAAGAAGAGCAAGAGGAGAGATGGATTGAAAAATCGGTTTCCAGGCTCTTAGCAGTGGAACAGGATCCAACCTCAGTGAACAGGATCCAACCTTCATGCCTTCAGCATGAAACCCTGAGCAATCTGCCTTATTTGACCACACAAACAACTGTGTAGGGCAGGAAGAGCACCCCCATGTTACAGATAAGGAAACTGAGGAACTCAGAGAGGAAGTAACTGTATAATCCAGAGAGGTGATATGAGTTGCTGGGGGTTCAGTATTGGGTTAGGGGCCCAAGTGGACTCCAACCCAGGTCTTCTGACGCTGTTGAAGGGGCACTAGGCTCAATCGCATGCCAGGAGGACAAACATCCACCGCCTACTGATAGAGGTGAATGAGGAGGGGTGGAGGAGCCACCGTGGACTGACCACCTACTATGTGCTGAGGCCTTACATGATTTTAAGCAACAGCTCAAAGAGGGGGGCACGGACATTCCCCAGTTATTCAAGAGAAATGAGGAAAAGGAGGCTAGAGAAACTCCACTGAGAGCATGACGCATCACAGTCTGAAGCCGGATCTGGTCAAAGAGCAAGGCAGAAATAGCCGCCTGGAATCTCTGGGGGCTGAGCAAAACTGCCTTGGGACATATGTGCATGCACCCCCCCCACACACAGCTTCACACTTACACAGACTCACCCATACACTCACACGCAGACACATTCACATAGCTTCACTCAGATTCACCCAGACACACCTACATGCACTCACATAGCTTCACACTCACACAGACTCACCCATACACTCACATGCAGACACAGTCACAGCTTCACATTCACAGAACTTCACATTCAGACTCACCTAGACACACACCCACACACACACACTCACCCACACACTCATATAGCTTCACACAGACTCCCACACACACTCACAGACTCACCCACACACAACACACAGACTCACCCACACACACATAGCTTCACACTTGCACAGCTTCATTCATGCAGACTCAGAGACATACATATACCCAGACACACTCATCACAGCTTCAGTCATACACTCACACACATCCAGATACTTGCACAGCTTCCCACTCACACAGCTTCACACTCACACAGACCTACACACACACAGACTCACACTCATACACACACAACCACACATTCATACACTCAGGCATACACTCACACAGACCTACACTCATATACACCCGCGCACACATACTCTGTCGCACTTCCACATACCCGTGTGTATACATAATTCACACAAGTACTCAAGCTCCCACACATCCATAAACACATTCACACCTCTGCACACACACATTCACAAACACATATACACACCCACACACAGGCTCACTCACAATCCCCACACCTTTTCTCTCCTAGGTGTCTCTTAGCTCTGTCCTCAGGGTTTAAACTTTCTTAAGATCCCAGCACATCTCCACATGCATATTTTGGGGGGTAAGCAGTGAACAAATGCACCCTCTCTGGCGTTTGGGAAGCTGACCCCATGATGCTGCACATTGCCTGCCGACAAGATTTGCAAACACAGCCACTGCAGCACCCTGTCACCCCCATCCCCGGGGGGAAAAGCTCCGCCACCTGGCTTCAGAGCTCCTTGACGAGGAACAGCCACGCCCAGCGCGGCAGGGAAGCTGGCAGGAAGCTGGCAGGAGGAGCCGGTGAGCAGCAGAGATCCGAAAATCATGAGACCAGACTGGGGATTGCCTGCAGCACATCAGGCCCCCATCGGGTCCAACTGACTGCCCAAGCCAACGCCGCAGTCCAGGCCTCCCCTCCCCTGTGTCTCACGCAGACCCGTCTACTTGGAGGCCTGCTGCCTGGGCTGCCCACATCCCCCCGCAGTCCTGCTCACCCACGCCGGCTCCTGTGACAGCCCTTCTGCCCCAGTGCCTCGCCAGGTCCCAGAGTCTCCTCTAGCTGTTCCCTCCGTGGTGCTCCACAGCCTTCCGCCTGTGCCTTGGCTAAAGCGCTTATCACCCAGGAGTTTTCAACCAGGTAAGATTCACCTGGGATGGTTTTAAAACATATTGAGACCCGGCCTCCCCTACCCTAGACCAGTTAAATCAGAATTCCTGGGAGGGGTCCAGGTCTTTAGGAGTTTTAAAAGCCACCCCAAATTTCTGAACCATGGGCCTCCAGATTTTGGGACCGAGAAGACCCATTTATTTAGTAAGTCGGAGGGATGAGGTTTGTGAAAGGCATTGAAGCCTAATGGTAGAGAGGAGTGACAGGGGCCCACAGACCTGGGCTCAGACTCCAGTCCTGCCCACTATGTGACGCTGGATAGGTTACTTACAGCTCCCACACGCTACCTCACTTTTTTCATCTGTAACAATGGGTTTAATTAACAAGCATATGTAAAGCACTTAATAATAAAGAGCCTCCCATGTGATAGCCATTCAACAAATAACAGCTGTCACTCATGGAACAGCTGTAGCGATGGGAATACTAGCAGTCTCAGTGGCTTTATGCCTCACAGCACCCTCTG